TCTTCCATCTTTATTGTTTTCTTTTTCAGTTATCCTCTGCTGGTTTTTAAAGGCTTCCCAATCCTCTGGTTTCCCACTAATCTTCTCCACTGTGCTTTTTCTTTTGCTTTTATACTGCCCCCTGACATCCCTGGTCACCTTCGGTTGACTCATCTTCCCCTTGGTATGTTTCTTCTTCGTTGTAATTAATTTCTGTCTTGCCTCCCAAATTATCTCAGAAAATCCTGCCATTGCTGCTGCCTGCTAGGCTTCCATTCCAATCAACTCTGGCTAGCTCCTCCCTCATCTTTTTACTTCCCTTTACTCAATTGTAATACCGTTACATCTGATTCCACCTTCTCCCTCTCAGACTGCAGCGCAAATTCTTTCATTTCATGGTGACTGCCCACGTGTTCACCTTCAGCTTCCTGATCAAGTCTGCCTTATTACACATCACCAAATCTAAATTGCCTGATCCCTTAGGCTCTAACACAAACCACTCCAAAAAATCATCTCAGAGACATTTCACTAATTCCTTTTCTTGAGATCGGTTACCAACCTGATTTTCCCTGTCCACCTGCGTATTGAAGTCCTCCATGATTGTTGTAGTAGTGCCTTTGCTACATGCCTTTTCTATCTCCTGATTTATTTTTTTCCCCACAGCCTGACTATTGCTGGAACACCTGTACACAACTTTGTCCATGATCTTTTTTCCTTTATGGTTCCTCAACTCTACCCACACAGATTCTATGCCTTCTGATTCTATATCACTTCTTCCAATTAATTTAATTTCATTTCTTTTTAACAAGGTAATGCTTGGTCCCCTCAGCCCAGTTGCTGCCCTTTTGATAGGGTATGTATCTTCGGACATTTAGTCCTCAGCTGTGATCCCCTTGCACCAACATCTCTGTGATGCCCACATCATACCTACCAATTTCAAACTACGCTAGAAGCTCATTTATCTTGTTTCATATATTGTATGCATTTAAGTACAACCCCTCCAGTCCTGTGTTGACTATTACCCCTCTCATTGTCATCCCCATACCTGCTATGCCTGAAGTTAGATTCCTGACCTTTTCCATACTCTCTGTCAAAATACATGTTCTGGACCAAGTGTCTATGAGGAACCTTTAGGTAAAATTGATCATTGGGAATCTAAACTTCAAGGTATAATGGAGAAGACCAAGAAGCAAGCTATTGTGGAACTTCTAAACTGGGAGACAGCTAACTTCTGTGGGTTGAGGAGATCTAGCTAGGGTAGGATGTAACTAAAGACTGACAAAAGCTGTAGCAGGATAGTGGGTTAACTAAGGAATTTATAAATAAAAGCTGGACGCATCCCAAAAAGAGACAAAAGTAGGGAACTAAAACCAATGTTCCTTGGGTGATGAGAGAGTTGCAGAATATGATGAAACAAATTTGCATGTAATCAGGTTTTTCAGGCAAGAACCAGACCAAATGTAGTAAGCTGATAGGGGAAACAATAGGAAAAAAGTACTAGCAAAGACTGATATTGGGAGTGGATTGTCTGTTAATGTAAAAATAAGTTAAAAGATCTTCTTCTTTTATGGAAGTAGAAAATGGTAGTAAGTGGTGGAGTGAAGCCTATTCCAAACATAGAGGTTGATATCCACTGCAAGGTGTAGGACAAGCTTAGAAAATTAAGTACTTCATATTGGTGTTTGTTAAAGGAGATGATGCTGGGAAAACATCTGTAGAAATGATGATGCTCGAGGTAATGGTTAGGGTGAAGGTTAATTGACAGGATTACTAGATATGATGGTTATGCTTAAAGTGAATAGGTCATGTGATGCCAGATGGTTTGTATTTACACGGTTGGTTTTGATTCGGAAGGCAATTTCAAGTAAAAGCAGAAAATGGAAATATTCCACGTGTCTGACAACATCTGTGAACACACACAAGTAGTTGTTATGTTTCGGGTCAGTGCCCTCTCAGCAAGACTTTGATTATTTCTGATACATCTGGGATGTTTTTGTCCTTGTCCTCCTTCATAAGGACATTGCTGAAGTCATCAGATAGAAGTATCCTGACATTTCGTTTCTGTGATGATCTGCCTCCAGCAGTACCATGGCATCTCATTTTAAAAATCAGGATCAGGAATATTCTTCAGCCAGGTTTAGTGATTTGTTCTTTTGATTTATGACATAATCTGGATTCATGAATGAATATACTTAGCTGAGAACAACCCTGCTCATCAGATATTCACAGTTGCCATCTTTTTCAAGTTATCTGAATGAAGATTTGGCCATTGTTAAAATGAAGCTGTACTGCATATGGATGAGTTGAGAAGGTTAATGAAAATTATTACTACATAATTTCTGTCAAAAATGATGTGAAGTAATTTCCAAGGTGGTAAGTTGTACTGTGACAGATGCAAGGCACTCACTTTTACTTGAGATGAAGCTAACCTGATTAATGTATTTGTCAACTCAATGCAGTTATAACACTTTAGACAAAATTCTCGCAATGGTTCTTTGCAGAGCAGACTCTCAGCTTCATCTGTGCTGCAATGAAAGGGATATGTCTGAAGATGGTTGCATGTCTGCAGAGATTATTTAATGCAACAAAAACCAAAATTCTTGGAGAAACTCAGCAGGTCTGGCCGCATCTATGGAGAAAAATCAGAGTTGACGTTTCAGGTCCAGTGACCATTCTTCAGACCCTTGTTTACTGGATGCGAAACATTAATTCTGCTTTCTCTCAACAGATGCTGCCAGATTTGCTGAGTTTCTCCAGCAATTCATATTTTTGTTTCCGATTTCCAGCATCTGTAGTTTTTGTTGAATTTTAGAGATTATTTAGTAGTTTGGGGTTGGGGGTTGGTTGTCGGGGATGGGGGTGGCGTTATTCATGATTGGGTAGGTTTGTAGGTATTGGGGAAGATGTTGAATTGAATGGAAGACCATTGGGAAGCTTGACAAGTTTCCTGTAACCCTGTTTCTGCACTGTAAAAAAAGAAGACTCAAACCCCAGGACGAAGGAGTTTAAATTTAGATGGAAGGCAAAATATCAAACCTTCTCAAAATGATTTTTAAAAGCCAGGGCTTTTATCATAATTTGACATTTCATATGCAACCAACCTTGGAAAGAGTAGTTTTATGATCGTATGAAATTTTTAAAACAAAAGAATTACTCATTTAACAACTCACTTTCTTTAATGGTTTTTAGAGTGAGACTAAGTTTAAAAATTAAAAATTTCATCAGTTTGTTGATTTTTAATTGATTGTATTTATAAGGGTGTAAACTTGTACATCACTTTTGGATTTTCATGTTTAAACATACATCTGGACTTGAATTCTGTTAGTTTCAGTAAAACGATAACAGCAAACACTGACTGTTTTGCCATTGCAGCTCATGAAAAATCTGGATGTAGTTTTAATTGAGTATTTCATTGAAAGTAAAATATTACATCATATTGATGCATTTAACAGGAAGCTAGAAAAACACCAGAGAAAGGGAAGAGTATGTGTTCATGGAGTTAGTTAAAGAATAGTACACGGAAACCTGTGTAGAGCAATAAATACTGACATGAACCAGTTGCACAAAATATCTAGTTCCTATGCAATTAATCTTTTCTGCTTCATTTCAAACTATTAAGAGGAGACCCAATTAAGTATTCAATATTTTGATTACATCTTCAAGAGCAAGTTGCTTTCAAAAATAATTGACAAAAATGTAAGGCAAGAAATGGGAGTTTTTTTCATGACAGGGCTGCTGAAATGTAGAATGTGCTACTTGAAAGAGTGGCATGAGTAGATTCTGCAGAAACTGTCCAAAGACCATTGGACATGCACTTGAGGACAGGTAATTTGCAGGGTCATAGAGGAAAAATGCTAGAGTAGGGGGACTGTATTAGAAAGCTGTTTACAATAATTCACTCAAGCATGATTGGTCAAATTGCCTATCTCCTTGCTTTTGGATTCCAACAAAAACTAAATCAAGATGTTATGGTCAGTGTCATTTAACACAATGCAAATGTCATGAAGAGTGTAGTACGTTAAAGCAGCACTTAATAGTTTTCAATTCTGGATAGTCAAGAGGTACTGAAGACATGTTATGAGAATATACTTAAGTTGAGGGAAATTTATATTCTTTTGGAGTTCCATCTCCTCGGAATCAAGGATACAATTTGCTTTCTCTCGTTAGACTGTCAAGCTGACACATCTACATTTTGTTGCATAAATGAGCTTTCACAAACAAATGATTTCTCCATACAAAGGATGCAGTTTTATTATTTCAAGTTGCCATGATACAGTGCTTTCCAGGTTGCCATGTAAAGGCATTTGCGCCTAATAGCTGGATATTTAGAAATGACAAATACATTCACCCAATATCTTACTTATTGCAACTTTAACAGCCAATGCCCAGAGAGTTCAGATGGTTACAGGGTGGTATTAATAACACCAAGATCACAAGTTCAATCACCATACTGGCCAATGCTGCTAGCTAGCTTCCATCCGTAGCTTTAATATTTGCCATTTTCTTTGGAACCACGTTTGGGGCGACACAGTGGTTAGCATTGCTGCCTCACAGTACTAGGGACCTGGATTCAATTCTGCCCTTGGGCAACTTAAACAAAACTTCCAAATGAACAGGCACTTCTATTAGACTGCAGTGAACTCACTAATGGAATTTATAGAGGTGAGTTTGGCAATTTTGGTTAAGTTCGCAATGACTTACATAATGCTGTAGGAGCTATTTTAAATGATGAGGAATCCAGTGAGATTGAATATTTACAACATGAATCCCATTTCTTGTAAATGTTGGATCATGAATTGCTTATCATTGTATTTCAACAATTTTCCGCTTTTTATTTCATATTTCTGCACTTGGGATATTCTGCTTCTTTCTATCTTATGTTTTCAAAAAATTATTATTTTAATAGAAGTCAGACTAAGTTGCATCCTAAATGCTATGCAAAATGCTTATCTAATTTTGTTGCCAGAGAATTAAAACTGTACTGACTGTATATTTATTCTTTGTAATACTTTCCTTTTTAGGTTTCTTTGTTCCTGGTTTCCCAAAACTGTTACGGTTTCAAGAGCACCATGATCGGATTTTGAAGAAGTTCATGCCAAAGCTTAAACAGCATTTAGTGAGTATCTTTCAGGTTTGAAGATGTTAAAGATAAGAAACCTTATAAAGATATATTACTTCAACTTTAGCATAACCATGTTATAAGAATAACCATGACATCATTACAATGCAGTTTCATGTTTGTTAGCTTAATTCATTGCCACTGCCTGCCCACTCAAGTGAGCGTAAAATATCTTAATGATATTTTCCTAATCAACCTGATCAGAGATGCTTTGATACATATCTGGAGCAGGTGGGACTTGAAACTCGGGTCTCCTGGCTCGGAGGTAGGAACACTACTATTGCATCACAAGAGCCCTTATGAAATATCTTCTCTTGGCTGAGTCTTGAGGTGAAACATCTTAAGGTCATCAAAGAACATAAGAACTAGGAGCAGGAGTAGGCTGACTGGCCCTTCGAGCCTGCTCCGCCATTCAATAATATCATGGCTGATCCTTTCGTGGACTCAGATCCACTTACCCGCGCTCTCACCGTATCTCTTAATTCCTTTATTGTTCGGAAAAAATCTACCTTTTTTTTAAAAACATTTACTGAAGTAGCGTCAACTACTTCACTGGGCAAGGAATTCCATAGATTAACAACCCTCTGGGTGAAGAAATTCCTTCTCAGTTCAGTCCTAAATCTGCTCCCTCTAATCTTGAGGCTATGCCCTCTTGTCCTAGCTTCACCTGCCGATGGAAACATCCTCTCTACTTCTATTTTATCTAATCCCTTCATAATTTTATATGTTTCTATAAGATCCCCCCTCAATCTTCTGAATTCCAATGAATATAATCCCAATCTACTCAGTCTCTCCTCATAAGCCAACCCCCTCAACTCCGGAATCAACCTAGTGAACCTCCTTTGCACCCCCTCCAGTGCCAGTACATCCTTTCTCAAGTAAGGAGACCAAAACTGCACACAGTACTCCAGGTGTGGCCTCACCAGCACCTTGTACAGCTGCAACATAACCTCTCTGCTTTTTATTTCAATCCCTTTAGCAATGAAGGACAAAATTCCATTTGCCTTCCTAATTACTTGTTGTACCTGCAGACCTACCTTCTGTGATTCATGCACAAGGACACCCAGGTCCCTCTGCATAGCAGCATGCTGCAACTTTTTACCATTCAAGTAATAATCCTTTTTACTATTACTCCTACCAAAATGTATGACTTCACATTTATTTACATTGTATTCCATCTGCCAGACCTTTGCCCACTCACTCAATGTATCTATGTTCCTCTACAAAGTTTCACAGTCCTCTGCACACTTTACTTTGTCACTCATCTTAGTGTCATCTGCAAACTTTGACACCCTACACGTGGTCCCCAACTCCAAATCATCTATATAAATTGTAAATAATTGTGGTCCCAACACCGATCCCTGAGGCACACCACTAGTCACTGACTGCCAGCTAGAATAGCACTCATTTATCCCCACTCTTTGCTTCCTGTTAGTCAACCAATCCTCTATCCATGCAATATACTTTACCCTTAATGCCATGCATCCTTATCTTATGCAGTAGCCTCTTGTGCGGCACCTTGTCAAAGGCCTTTTGGAAGTCTAGGTACACCACATCCACTGGGTCCCCATTGTCCACCTCGCTCGTAATGTCTTCATAGAATTCCAAAAGATTTGTCAAGCATGACCTGCCCTTCATGAACCCATGCTGCATCTGCCCAACGGGACAATTTCTATCAAGATGCCTTGCTATTTCTTCCTTGATAATAGACTCAAGCATCTTCCCCACCACAGAGGTTAAGCTAACCGGTCTATAATTCCCCATCTTTTGTCTACTTCCCTTTTTAAACAGTGGCGTCACATTTGCTGTTTTCCAATCTGCTGGGACTGCCCCAGAGTCCAGCGAATTTTGGAAAATTACCGCCAGTGCACCTGCTATTTCTCCCGCCATCTCTTTTAGTACCCTGGGATGCATTCCATCAGGGCCAGGAGACTTATCAATCCTTAGCTCCATTAGCTTGCCCAACACTACCACTTCCGTAATTATGATTGTTTCCAGGTCCTCACCTGCCTTTGTCTCTTTGTCAATTACTGGCATGTTATTAGTGTCCTCCACTGTGAAGACCGATACAAAATACCTGTTCAATGCCTCGGCCATTTTGTCATATCCCATAACTAAATTCCCCTTCTCATGCTCTGAAGGACCATGATACAAGTCCAAGTTCTGTCAATAATATGGATAGTGAGCTTGACTGTAAATCTAAACAGGCTCCACTCACTGTGCTGCAATGCCAGGTCTCAGGATTGTGACAGGTATTACCTAAATGCCTCCTAATGTTTACAAAATGTTCTGAAACAACCAAAGGAAGATTAAATTTAGTTTTGAAAAGATGGACAAATATCACGAACCTGTTTAGAAAATAATTTACTGAGATTTTAATTGGAAAAAAGAACTTGCATTTATATCCTGAGGGAGTCTTTTGATATACTGTAGCTAATTCATTACTTCTGAAGTTGTGTGACTGAAAAGTAGGCAGATAATTCCTAATCAACCTGTTCAGATTTGTCATTACACACCTCTAGACCAGGAGTGTCTTGAATCCAAGCTTTCTCAGGTAAGGACACTACCACTGTGCCACAAGAGCCCTCTGAAAAGTAGATGAACCTGGCAGCCAAACTGCATACAGGAAAGTCCTAGAAGGTCTTATGCAACAAAATGTAGATGTGTAATGTTGAATGATTTAAAGGAATCAATTGAACTCCTTTTTAGTACTTTTTTTAGATGTTGATGACCTCAACTTGGGAGAACTTGCCTGCTGTTTTAAGTAATGCCATGAAATCCTTTTCCATGTATCAGAATAGGAAGATGGGGCCTTGGTTTCATATCTCGTCCAAAAACGGAACTTCTAGCAGTGTAGCACTTCTTCATAATTACATTGAAATATTAGCATGGTTAATGTTGCATGTTCTAAATTTAAACTTTGAACCAGATACGCAGGAGAGTACTCAAGTGAACTCAGCTGATCTGATTAGAATTTATGAAGCAAAAGTTCACATCTTCATGTTTTGCAAACTATGTTGAAACCTGAAATAGAATAGAAGTGTTTTATAGAAGTTGGGTGCTTCTTTGAGATGTATAGTTGTTGCTAAATGGGAAGTAGTTGGCTAAAAAACTGGGGTTCTTTCTAAGTTTCATTGTTGAGTCAGAGGTAGAGTCAGTGAGTACTAGGTTCAGGCCCCATTCCAGAGATGTGGGCACAGTGTCTAGCTTGGTACACTGATATAGTATCGAATGTGTGCTGTGCTGTTGGGACTGCCTTCCAAAGGTGCGACATTAAACCATGGCCATAAAACACTTCACTATAGACTGAAGGATTTTCTTCTAGTCTCCTGGCCAGCAGTTATTCCTAACCAACTTCACTGAATATGATTTTATGCTCCTTTAGTTTGTGGCTGTTTGTGAGACCTTGAGCAAATTGGCTATTTTGTTTCCTGATACATGCCAAAAATGCTTATTTGATTGCAAAGTTCTTTTGGGCATGTTTTATCACAAACAGCACTACATAAATGCAAGTCTGTTAATTGTATAAGCGTTGCTTGGTTGTGTAGAACTCGAATATCACAGAAAAGAGCGACATGTTACTGGAGATTTTCACCTTTCACTTATCAGGAGAGAGGTAAGAATGCCAAATTTCAAACAATCACAGTTTATACCAGAAAAGAAAAATAAGCTGTTTATTTGGCGAATTGACTTGCTTTAACTGAGATACTTCTATGGGGCAAATGGTGAGAAACAATAGATTCTACATGCTTCCAGATAATTCATAAAGGTACAAAGCTTAAATATATGAGAATAAGGGTTTTCAGAAAATGTGTCCCTATCTTTGATTGGTGCTTTTAGCAAATGTAAATGAGCAGCTTGAAAAGCTTGCCTTTCTTAAATTGATTGTCACTGAAACTGCCAGCACATTCAGGATTGTTTAGAAAGTATTGTGCAATCACAGAATTAACATCTAAGAGTACACATTTGCGTAAGGGAAGGCGGAGATGCTGTGGTAATGTCTCTGGACTAGTAATTCAGAACTTGGGTTATCTTGGTGATATGGGTTGGAATTCCATCATGGCAGGCGATAAAATTTGAATTCAATAAATCTGAAAATGAAAAAAACTAGTCTAATGACAACAATGGAACCATTGTCAATTGTCATAAAGGACCATCTGGTTTACTAATGCCCTTTAAAATCTCTCATCCTTACCTTTGTCTGGCCTATGTGTGAATCCAATTATCTGGAGTACCGCATGCAGTTTTGGTCCACTTACTTGAAAAATTTAATCCATTGGAGGCAGTTCAAAGAAGTTTCACCAGACTGATTTCAGAGATGAAAGGCTTGTAGAGGAGAGATTGAACAGGTCAAGCCTTTATGTACTAGAGTTGAGAAGGATGAGAGGAGATTTGATTGAGGTTTCTAAGTTGCTAAAGGGAATGAACGAAGTAGATTTCAAGCAGATGTTTCCCCTTGTGCAGCAATCTAGAATGAGGGGTCATGGTTTTCAGGAAATGGAAAGCAAATTTAAATTGTATCTCTCAAAGGTCATGAATCTGTGTAATTCACTGTCCCATAATGTTGTGGGTGCCAGGACACTGAATAAATCTAAGGAGGAGATAGACAGACAGATTTTTAATTAGTAACGACTTAGTGTTACAGGAAGCAGGCAAGAAAGTGGAGTTGAGGTGAAATGAGATCAGCTATAATGGTATTAAATGGCGGAGCAAGCTTGAAGGGCTGAAATGTCTAGTCATGCTCAGTGTTATGATCTTCTACCCACAGCAATGTAGTTTATACTTAACTGCCTTCTGAAATGGCCTGGAAAGCCACTCTGTTGAATCAGGCCATTACAAAATCTAAAGAAAGCTGTGGAACTAGGCAAACCCTCAGCATTAACTGAGACATTGGAAACTGCAACAGCAAACACCACCCTGCTGATGTTGCAAAACCCTCTTTACCAACATCTGCCAGAATTGGGAAAGTTGTCTTTCAGCCTAGTCAAGCAACAACC